TACATAGGTCAGTAGATACATAGATACACAGACTTCACAGCATCACAATTTAAAGGACTTGTCACAAAAAAGGTGCAGTTAATGGATAAAACCTAACACACAAGCCTCCTTGATAATTTAATGAATTTTGACGTGAACAGATGGCAATTGACACACCCTCCTGTTAAGTGTCTGCAGCTCTGTTTGGTTCTCCTGAGCAGACAAAGCCCCTTTCATCTTTGTGTCTGTAACCCCCTAATGAAGGGAGATCAAAGCTCTTCAGAAGTTTCAGATGCAGGCATGGTTTCTTCAGCCAAAAATCTGTAATTTCTCATTGGACTGTCAATAGCAATATTGAGGATGGACAATTGCACTTGGAGCCTGCTGTACCAAGAACAAATATCACTCTCGGAGATTATACTGGGCACATGCAGGCAAAAAATTGTGGTGGATATGCAGAATCGAGGGTGTAAAGTCTCTCTCTAGCAAGGTTCCATGGTGAGACCCTGTCTCAATAATGATGATGATGATGATGATGGTGATGGTGATAATAAAATCAAAGGGTTGGAAAGATGCTCAGTGGCTAAGAACTATCAGACTATCATATCAGTAGGGTAGATAGTTCAGTTCCCAGCACCCACATGAGCAGTTCACAACTGCCTGTAACTCCAGCTCCAGGGATCTGATGCCCTCTTCAGGCATGGGTACTGAACATATGTCTCTGTCTCAGGCATGCCCGTGTTTCTCTCTCTCTCTCTCTCTCTCTCTCTCTCTCTCTCCCTCTCCCTCTCCCTCTCCCTGTCTCTCAACCCTGAGAGAAAAATAAGTAAACAAGGCTGGAGCAACTGCTCAGTTGGTAAAGTGCTGTCTGCACAAGCCAAAGGACCCAAGTTCAGATTCCAAATTCCCACATAAAAAGCCAGAAACACAGGATGAGTCCACAACACCCATGCTTTGGAGTTAGCGGCAGGAGGATCCAAGAGACCTTGCTAGCCAGCCAACTGGTGAGCTCCAGGTTAAGTGAAAGACTGTGTCTTAAAAAAATAGAGATCTATAGAGTAAGGCACCCAGTGGCTACCTTGGGCACACAGATGCACGTACCACACATGCACACAAATGCCACGGCCAAACAATGAGTACAAATGAGCAAATATTTTAAAGTGGTCTGAGAGCCTGGAACGGTAATGCATGCCTGTAACCCTAGCACTCTGGAGGCAGAAATAAAGGAGCCATGACTTCCAGGGCAGAGTCGGCTGTGTATCACATCTAAGCGCAGAGGGGCCCAGGCAATTTTCCAAGAGGCTGTCTCAGAATAAGAAAGGGTGGCTTTGCCCGCGAGTGGTGGCCCACACCTTTCATCCCAGCACTCAGGAGGCAGAGGCAGGCAGATCTGTGTGAGCTGGAGGCCAGCCTGGTCTACAGAGCGAGTTCCAGGACAGACTCCAGGGCTACACAGAGAAAACCTGTATTGAAAAATAAAAACATAGCAAACAAAAAAAAAAAAAAAGGAAAGAAAAGGGTGGCTACACAGATAAGTGGTGGAATTCCTGCCTATCGCACACAAGGCCCAGGATCCAACCCTAATACCACCAAACAGACAGAGAGAAGGGGGAGGGAAGAAAGCCCTCATGTTTCCTAGTAATTCCGACTTCATGGGGAGCCCCTCCAACTCTACAGTTTGAGTCCTAACAGCCAGACTTCCCTTCTTTGCCATCCATTTATATGTACACCTGCTGGAAGCAAAGCTCACACCCACCCCTGCACTCAGAGTCAAATGGACCAAAATTAGCAATGTGCAGGGCTAAGGCTTACTCGGTGCTTCCCCATTTCCATTTATTAGGGAATGGCCACCTTAGGCTCTCCAACAGTGCCCACAACGTGCTGGGGTCCAATGCTGTGCAAAAGTTCCCTGTGGGGTCCACTGTTGTGTGGGTGCTCCCTGTGGAGTCACTGTTGTGTGGGTGCTCCCTGTGGGGTCCACTGTTGTGTGGATGCTCCCTGTGGATTCACTGTTGTGTCGGTGCTCCCTGTGGGGTCCACTGTTGTGTGGGTGCTCCCTGTGGAGTTCACTGTTGTCTGGTGCTCCCTGTGGGCTCCACTGTTGTGTGGGTGCTCCCTGTGGGGTCTACTGTTGTGTGGGTGCTCCCTGTGGAGTCCACTGTTGTGTGGGTGCTCCCTGTGGGCTCCACTGTTGTGTGGGTGCTCCCTGTGGGGTCCACTGTTGTGTGGGTGCTCCCTGTGGGGTCCAATGTTGTGTAGGGTGCTCCCTGTGGGGTCCACTGTTGTGTGGATGCTCCCTGTGGGGTCCACTGTTGTCTGGTGCTCCCTGTGGGGTCCACTGTTGTGTGGGTGCTCCCTGTGGAGTCCACTGTTGTCTGGTGCTCCCTGTGGGGTCCACTGTTGTGTGGGTGCTCCCTGTGTGGTCCACTGTTGTCTGGTGCTCCCTGTGGGGTCCACTGTTGTCTGGTGCTCCCTGTGGGGTCCATTGTGTCCGGGTGTTCCCTGTGGGGTTCACTGTTGTCTGGTGCTCCCTGTGTGGTCCACTGTTGTCTGGTGCTCCCTGTGGGGTCCACTGTTGTCTGGTGCTCCCTGTGGGGTCCATTGTGTCCGGGTGCTCCCTGTGGGCTCCACTGTTGTCTGGTGCTCCCTGTGGGGTCCATTGTGTCCGGGTGTTCCCTGTGGGGTCCACTGTTGTCTGGTGCTCCCTGTGGGCTCCACTGTTGTGTGGTGCTCCCTGTGGAGTCCACTGTTGTCTGGTGCTCCCTGTGGGCTCCACTGTTGTCTGGTGCTCCCTGTGGGCTCCACTGTTGTGTGGGTGCTCCCTGTGTGGTCCACTGTTGTCTGGTGCTCCCTGTGGGGTCCATTGTGTCCGGGTGCTCCCAGCACCCCCCCTCCACAGCCCTTTTCCAGCCACTGTACTCCACATGTAACCACCTGTGAACCCTAACGCCCTCAGGGCCGCATCCCACCTTGACACTGGGGACTCTGGGTAATTGCTTTGGGGTGTGCCTGGACACCAGATCAAAGATTAAACGTAGCCGTTTGAGAGTTCTAGGGCTGTCCTTCTGCTTTTCTATTCTTTCCCTTTTTTGGGGACAGGGCCTCACTGTGTCACCGGGCTATATGGACCAGGATGGCCTCTACGTCACAGAGGCCTGCCTATCTGGGGATTAAAGGCATGAATCACACTCCCAGTTTGACCTCTTTTTTATTTTTGTTTTGTTTTTTGAGATGGTCTCACTAGTTGGCCTTGGCTGACCTGGAACTCCATATGTAGACCAGGCTGACCTCCATTCAGAGACTAATCTGCCTGCCTCTGCCTCCAGAGGGCTGGGATTAAACCTATTTTATCTTTTAATTAGATTTATTTTAATCCAGGAGTTAATTTAATTTAATCCAGGCATTTACCTTTAATCCCAGCATTTAGGAGGCAGAGGCAGGCAGATCTCTGGGAGTTTGAGATCAGCCTGACATATAAAGTGAGTACTAGATGAACCTAGTCTTTAGCATGTTTCAGGCCAGCCAGGGCTAAACATTGTGAGACCCTGTCTCAGAAAAGGAATAAAAATTATTTCATTTATTATTATTATCATCATTTTGTGTGTCGTGTATCATTATTATTTTGTAAGAGTGGGTGCCTCTATGACCGAGCACAGGGGGTCAGGGGACAACTGCTGGGGGGGTCTTGTTTTTGTTTTGTGACAGGGTCTCATGTAAGGTACAGGTAAGGGTACCTTCACACTGTCTGTCCTCCAGCCTCCACCTCCCTGGAGCTGGAATAACAATACTCCCTACCATCACTATCACTGTTTTCTGTAGCCACGGCATGGGCATCCATTTTTTTTTCTTTCTTTCTGTTTTTTGTTTGTTTGTTTGTTTGTTTGTTTTGTTTTTCCAGACAGGGTTTCTCTGTGTAGCTTTGGAGCCTATCCTGGCACTCACTCTGTAGCTCAGGCTGGCCTTGAACTCACAGAGATCCGCCTGCCTCTGCCTCCCGATTGCTGGGATTAAAGGCGTGTACCACCACTGCCTGGCCCCTATTGTATACTTTTTATCACAGTTTTTGGAGACTTGTGCTTAGCTCCGATAGATGTTTTGTGAACGAGGAATAAAATGTGGGCGTCAAACCACAAACACAGATCCGCAAAGCCCCGGCAAGGACAGGAAAGGAGCAGATCTTGTCCTATGAGTTCATAAGGGGGGCAGTTCAAGTTTGTTTTGACCCTGTGCAGACAAATTTCCCATGCTGAAACGCAAAGGTATTTGTGGGAGACTAGGTGACCAGGTGGCCGAGGATATCCTGGGGTTTCAGGGTCTCCTCCCTCCAGCTCCCAAGTTTTGACTTCGAGCCAGAGCCACCACCAGGCGCTGGGGATCGAACTTGCTGTCTCATGGGTTCAGTCTAGTCCTCTCTCTACCAAGCGAACTACCATCCCAGCTCTGCAGAGCAAATACTATCAGGTCAGGGGCAGGCGGCCTTAGAAAACTCCAGGCTCGCTAAGAAATTCACGGCTGCCTGGATCTGTTCTGTATACGAATTGGGCAGATTCTATGCTGTTTATACGAATTGGGCAGAGTTATTAGTGAACTCCGAAATCAACCCTTTAGTCTCTCTGGGCTCCACCCTTAAGTGACAGCTCTCCCGGAGCAGAGAGCGAATAGGTGACACCTCTGCAGGCTGGGTCGGTCCTGCTCTGTCTTGGAGGGTGCAGGGACTTGGGGCTCTGTGCTGTGACATTGGCCTGCACGTGGCGCGCCTAGAACTACGGTCCGGGAGCACGCAGGGAAGCGGACTACATATCCCAACATTCCTCGGGCAGGGGTGGGGCGATACCGGAGGCTGACCAGGCCACCAGCCTGGATGAGGCGTGCGCAGTGGTTCTTGGGAGTGGTGGGGCGGGTCCTCCCGGCTGTCAGCTGTGGCCCTAGGCGCCCAGGCGGGGTGGCGGTGGCCATTGGCGGAGAGGAGGGCGGGGCGGGGTCGCCCGCGGCGACTACACTAGGCCGATTCCTTAGAGGAGCAGCTGGCTTGGGAGGCTCTGCGCGTGCAGCAGTGATCCGGCTTGCTGCAACCATCCGCCTGGGCCCTGGGAAGCAGCGTGCCGCAGCGATCCGGCTTGGCCATGGCAGCGGCGCCTCTGAAAGTGTGCATCGTGGGCTCGGGAAACTGGTGAGCAGCGGCGGGTGGGCGGCGCGGGCTCCGCCTCCAGGAAGCCGGGGTTCCGGCCGGGCCAGGGCTGCTTGCCCGCTGTTTTTGCTTGGACACCAGAGCACCGCGGGCAGGCAGAGAGGTGGGCCTGCGATCGCATGTCCCGGTTGGGCACTGCACGCCCAGAGGACACGCTGAGGCACCATCGCGCAAGGTGCCTGGCACGGGTGGCTGGGGTGGCAGCGCGCACCGTGCCTGCGGGCACCTGTCTGCTTCCTAGTAACCGTGCTGCTACTGGCCACCTGCTCTCTATGCTCGTGAACTTAGCAAAACACCCTAAGGGTGTTCTCCGTTCTCCCCAGCCGGTCACCCCGTGGAGGGATCGGTGGAGACTCAGTCGTTCTTACTGCAGTTTTGGTCTTGGGGAAACCGAGGCACAGAGGGTTAAAAGGGTTCTCACTACCTGGAGCGGGCGCTGTCTATACAGACTGATTCGCAGTCATGCTTATGTGGTTCCGGGAAGGGGGTCCAAGTTCCCACTGCCGTCACTGCTGGGATGTGCTCGTCCTGGGGGAAAGTGTTTGCAGAGCTTCCGTCTCCACTGGGCTGGATTTGCCTTCACTTTTAAAGCGCTTACTGGTTGGAGGGCTTTCAAGCTCACCTTGGTGATACTTAACACAGAAGTTGGGGTCTTGGTGACAAGCAGGCGGTACTTAAGTGTTGGTGTGTTCCAGACTTTTCCCGTGGCTCGGGGAGGGAGGTGGAACGTTTCCTGGCTCCTGTCCTGTTCGTTGTGTTTTCCTGTGGTCTGATTCACGCCACAGCTCAGGCTTCTAGAAGAGGTGCAGTGCAGGAGTCATGGGGGCCATTTAATTAGTCTTAGTCACAGTCTTTGAAGACTAGGCTTGGAAAGTGCTTTTGGAGGAAACCTTACCTGGCTGTCCTTTTCCATTCCGGCTGGGCCAGTGGCCTCTCCCAGGCTCCCATGACCTCTACCCTTGCACTGGGCTCGCCTTTTAGCTGTTTCCACTCTCCCCTCGTGCCCAGTTCTTTACCAGGTGCCTGGCATATGCTAAATAAATAATGTCTGAATTTTCTTTTTTTAAGCTAGGGTCTTACTGTAGTTCTGGCCTGATACTTGCTGTGTAGACCAAGCTGGCCTCAACCCACAGAGATCTGAGTGCCAGCATTAAAGGCAAGTGCAAGCCCCATCATGCCTGGAGGAAGACTTTTTTTTTTTCTGGAGATTGAACCCAATGCCCATTGAGTGGTAGTGAAAGCCTTGCCACGGAGGAAATTCCCCCACCCTCAATTAGCATAAAATGATTCTGTTGCTAAGATGCATCCCCTCTGCTGCTGCTGCTGCTGCTGCAGGGCATCAAACCCCAAGGCCTCTCTCCTACCTCCTAGGCAGCAGGTCCACGCCCAGACAGACTCCAGAGGTGTTAGGGTTGTGGTAGCACTTGCCAGGAGTCCTGGTCCTGAAGGCATCAGGCAGGGGGATCAGGAATTCAAGTCAAACTTTTTATCTTTATTGAGACTTTTTAGTTTTATTTTTATGTGTATGAAGTGTTTTGCCTGCGCATATGTGACGGCACCAAATGTGTCCGTCCCTTCAGAGGTCAGCGAGGGCAGGGGGTTTCCTGGAACCACAGTTACAGTTCCCCATGTGGGTGCTGGGGACAGTGTGTGAGCGTTCCTACAGAAGTCAGAGAACAGCTTTTGGGAGTTGTTATCCTCTGTAGATCTGAGGATTCCACACAGGCCGCCAGGCAGGCCCTTTTCCCTGATGCTCCACTACACACTTTGCTGTGTGCTAACCGGTCCGGCTAACAGCAGGGACCATGAAGCAGACCTTTCTGGCCCTTCATGGAGGCTTGGCTGCTAGCCTGAAGCATCTTCATTCTGATGTACTTGGCTGTATTCTTGGTCTGATCCGGCTCTGGGAGGGAGTAGAACTTGGCCTGTGACTTGGAAGGTTTGGGCTGGCTGGCTGCCGCTATTAAATACCAGATCAGACAGAAACAGCCATTGGCATCCCGCCATCGCCTCGGGTACAGAGTCACTCCAGTCCTAGAGAGAGGAGCCCCACTTCCCGAGAGCTTCCCATTTAGAGGAACTTAAAACAGGAAGGGGCCAGAATGGCTCAAGTCTGAAATCCCTGAACATGAGCAGCCGAGGCAGGAAGACCACTACGAACAGGTGGCTAACCTGAGCTACATAGTGAGCTCTAGGCCAGCCAGAATACAGGAATCTCAAAAAATAATAAGGGAGTGAGAATGGGAATGTTCAGCCCTGACTAGTATATGCTCCAGTGTACATACTATAGGGCTTTTATTTATATAACTTTTTTTAAAAAAGTTTTATTATTTTGTGGGGGTGTTTGTCCAGCATGTACGCCTGTGTACCATATGTGTGCCTTGGAGGCAACAGGCAGGCATCAGATTCTCTGGAACCAGAGTTACAGACAGTTGTGAGCCACCATGTGGATGCTGGGAATCGAACCTAGGTCCTGGAAGGACGGCAATGTTTTTTAACCTGACTCATTGCTCCAGCCCTGACTTTTATTTAATGTCTGATCCTCCTGCCTCTCCTTTCCCAGCGCTAAGACTACAGGTGAGCCACACACTATGAAGAGCAGGCTGGACTTGAACTCAGAGCACTGCCTGTGTCTCTGCCTCTCCAGGCTTTCCTCTGCAGCCAGTCTTGCCGAATCATTCATTCCTTAGGAAGGGGCAGGGTCCCCTGGTCATCCCCCACGCCCCCTCCATGAAAGGACTTTAGCCTTTTGCTCATTTTCAAACAGGAGCTGGACCTTCTTTCCATATCTGGTCCTCACCACAGGAATGTAAATGTTGCTTAAGCAAACTTTACACCGTGGTTGGGAGTGTTTTATAAATAGAGGTGCAGTCACTTATAGATACATGCAGTGATAGCTCTCAGGCCACCTGACACCGGTGACTGTTGGGGACCTAGCTGGGAGAGCAAGGTAGGCTAGGTAGGTGCTGGGGTGTGACTGGGGTACTGGGTAGGTACTGGGTAGGACTGGGGGTGAGGGTGTGCTGTCTACTAAACTGGTGACGAGAGGCCAGAGGAGCCCTGAACACCCACGGAGCTGCCTGGTGCTGGGGTACTGTCCATCTTGCCATAGCCCCGTGAAAAGGGCAGAGAGAAGATGGGCAGGTAGGATGTCTGGCGATGAAAGCCCCTAAGCCTGATGACCTGATTTGGGTCCCTAGGGGCTACATGGTGGGAGGAGAGAACCAACTCTCCAAAGCTGTTCTTTATCTCCACATCTGCTCCACATCTGTCTGTCTGCTGTCTCTCTCTACCCCTCCCCCTCCCTCCGCCTCTCTCTCTCTCCCTCTCTCTCACACACACACACACAGAGACACATGCACACACACACCCACGCTAACTAAATAAGCAAATGTAATAAAGTATCAAGAACCATCTTCCCACAAAAGCCAGCTTCCCAGGTTTCCCCAGGCAGGACTTGGGGAAGATCACTCAGGAATAGTGTAAAATACAGACCTCAGGTAACTTCTGAACAGAACCTGTGTCCCAGAGCACCACCCTCCCCCCATGCAGGTAGGGTAAGTAGCCTGAGGAGCAGCTAGGGCAGGGCAGCTCCCTGGGTCTCTATCTCCGTCCCCTGCTTGGCAGCAGGCCTTAAGCTAACTGCATCTATAAATCCTTATTTAGAAAACAAAAGGTACCTGCTGCCTGAGATTAGGGCTGTAATTGCAGGAGACGGAGAGAGCATGGTGCCCCTGCCCTGAGTGTCAGCTGTTGGGATCTTTACTCAGCTCACTGTCCTTGACCACAGCTGTCCCTCAGCTGAAATCAGTGAGTCTACCCAGGCTCAGGGTTAGCGGGGTGCTTCAGTTGGGTGTGACAGCTCCAGCTTGTAATCCCCACTGTACCAGTCTTTCTCTTGTGGGCCATCGCCAGCTCCCAAATCATGACAAGGAGACTTAGTTTTGAATGCTTGGCCTAGGGTAGACACATTATCTGGCCAGCTCTTTTAACTTAAACTTGTTTCTCTGTATCTACCGTTTGCCTCGGGGCTTTTTACCGTCTTTCTGTGTATCTTTTGCTGTTTATCCAGTCGGCTGGCTTCTATCCCAGGGCGTCTCCCAAGTCCTCTCCTCCTCTTGTTCCTCTCTTCACTTGAGCCTAGATTTCTCCTCCTCCTTACTCTCTCTCTGCCTCCTGGCCCCGCCTAGCTACTGGCTGTTCAGCTTTTTATGAAACCAATTAGGCAGCTTGGGCAGGCAAGGTGAAGCAGATGCAGCACAGCTTTTCATAGCTAAACAAATGCAACATAAACAAAAGTATCACACCTTTACGTAGCTAAAGTAATATTCTGCAGCATAAACAAATCATTGCCTAGTTAAAAGAATGTTCCACAACACCTGGGGAGACTGAGGCAGGAGGAAGCAACAAGAATCAGTAGCTAGACTCCAGGGCCACCAAGGCTCAAGTGTCATGAAACGGAGATAGTGCCTCACTATGTGCCCTAGATGACCTTGAACTCACATCTGCCTGCCTTTGTTTCCTGTCCTCAGACTAAAGGTATGTGCCAGGGGTGCTTCATTTTGCTTTTGAAACAACGTTCTGTAGTTGCCTAGCATCACTACATAGCCCAGATTGGCTTCAAACTCTTGGCACTCCCTACTTTAAGTGATAGGATTATGTATCTTACTGTTATTTATCTTATTCCCTCCCTCCTCTCTCCCTTCAATAATTTTTTTTTTTTTTTTTTTTTTTTTTTTTTTTTTTGTTGAGACAGGTTTTCTCTGTGTAACATCCCTGGCTGTCCTGGCACTCACTCTGTAGACCAGGTGGGCTCGAACTCACAGAGTCCGCCTGCCTCTGCCTCCCCAGTGCTGGAACTAAAGGTGTGCGCCACCACCGCTCTCCGCTCCTCTTCCTCTTCTATTTTCTTCTTCTGTACTTTTTGCTGTATTAGGGACTAGCTTAGGTTGCCGTGTGTGCTGGGCAAGTGTTCTGTGTTT